AAGAACAATATAAAACGCAGTAAGGATTAACGAGCTGCTGGATTCATGAATATTAATCAGGTTGTGTGCGTTCGCTCAAACTGATTCGCTGAAATCAAAACAGGGACGACAATAGGTGAGCGCCAGCCAATGAGATTGTCGTTTGCGCATTAGCTCCGCCCACTAACGGAGAGGCAGTTCTTAAAAGCTGAAGAGTTCTAAAGGTACGCCGTTATTTTGAAGCACTGTCAGAATTTTCGGCGAGTGAAAATATATCTGTGCTAAACTTCTACTGTGCCTCCACTGTTGAGTAAAATCTGAGAATGTATTAGCCAGTGGCTACTATTATACACCAGAGTGAAGATTTACTGGCACTGTAGAGGGTTGTGACAGGAGTGTGAGGTCAGTACCTGAGTGAATGGTGTACGGAGACAGAGCTGACTGGAGAATCTTCCACTGCTTCCCTCCTTCTTCACTAACATCATCCTCATCCTCAGAGGAAGAGCTGTGTGGCTCTGTGGCCAGTCTCCGGGCAGCCGCCTGGTCACACCTCCTGATCTCCTCAAACCTGGACTGAGACGAGCCTCCTCCTCTGACCTCTGACCCCACAGCTCCAGGAGGACGGTGACCCCGACCCTGACCCCGCTGCCTCCACGCCGCATCCATGACTGAGAAAACAACAGAGAAGATCAGGGTTCAGAACACTGGGAAACCACTGAAGAAACATAGTAAATCACCCACCCAATATGGTAAAACAGTGTAAAAAAAAACAAACAAACACCATTAAACCACTAAAATGAGTAGAACTGCAACATGAAACACTGTCAAATCACTAATGAAACGCAGCAAAAAGGTGAAACATGGTGAATGAGAGTAAAATCAGTGACAAAACAACGTAAGATCTCTAATGAAACAAGGTAAAACATGGTAAAGTCATTGACAAAAACTAAAACACGGTGAAAGCGTTACAGAACACATGTCAGCTTTCAATAAAAGCGACCGTTCCAATTACTAACCTTTTAATTAGTAATTGAATGAATCAGTTTATAATCATGAGGTAATATGCAAGAAATGTTAAGGAAAATGATTTGATATAAATAGAGTCTTACTCTAACGATCAGCCCTGGAATCAGGACGCATGAGGAAGACGGCAGCACCGAAGAGCATGATGGGAGATGTAGTCGTTAACAGAGCACGGTGAGGCGGAATCCTCTCGTAAAAACTACAACTCCCGTCAGCATTCAGATAGCGTCATTCAATGACACGTCCGCCTGTCATGTTACCAGTCCATCATTAGTAAAGGAAAAATAAACGTACACTACCAGTCAAAACTTTTTGTACAGTAAGATTTTTAATGTTTTTTAAAGAATTATCTTCTGCTCACCAAGCCTACATTTATTTGATCCAAAATACAGAAAAAACAGTAATATTGTGAAATATTATTAGAATCTAAAACAGCTGTTTTCTATGTGAATACGTGTTAAACTGTAATGTATTTCTGTGATGCGCAGCTGTATTTTCAGCATCATTACTGCAGTCTTCAGTGTCACATGATCTTCAGAAATCATTCTAATATGCTGCTCGAGAAACATTTCTGATTATTACTATTATCAGTGGTGTATAAAGTACCTGAAAGCCATACTTAAGTAAAAGTACAGATATCTTACCAGAAAATGACTTTGGTAGAAGTTGAAGTCACCGTTTAGAATATTACTTGAGTAAAAGTTTTAAAGTATGTGATATTTATTGTACTTAAGTACGAAAAGTATTTTTTAAATCTTAAACGTACTTAAGTATTGAAAGTAAAAGTACAAGTAAATGCAAAATGGAAAAGAAGCAAATAAATATATATATTGTGTAAGAACTTCATCCGGTACTTAGTGTCTTTCATTCCAACATAAGAAAACATTTCTGGAATATGAAGAATATGAAAAATGTATTTACACAGTTTAATGTATCTCAGAGGGGACATGGATGCATTTAACCTGCAGTTACAGATGCATAAATAATGTTTTGTTTTTAACATAAAACGTTAAATACTGATATTTGAAATAATTTAAAACATGAAAAAAAATAGTCGAAATGTGAAATTAAAACCGCCAGTAGGTGGCAGCAAGTGACTGTTAATGAGTGAGTCATCGAGATTCATTTAAACGACTGATTCATTCAGGAACAAAGCATTTGACTGTGTTAATGAGTGAATCACTGAATCATTTATTCAACCGATTCGTTCAAAAAGCTGATTCATTCAATAAGTAAACACCATCCATTGCTCA